TTCGTGACCTGGTTAAGGCTAGAGAGTGATCAGAGAGCATATGCGCAAGAGAGACGCAGATGCTACGCGGGTGCGAGCGGTCGCCCCTTCCAGCCGCCTATTCCAGTGAATCAAAGGGGAGACCACATTCAATATTATCCACGCTACCTCTCTCTGAGCCTGACACTAGATTTAGCAGCTTGTTTTCTGAAGAAAAAAATACCATGCATGTCACTAAACTCACCTTTTTCCCGAAGAACCTTCAAAGAAAGCCTCCGAATTCACTATGAAAACTGCAATGCTCAAGGAAGATATCTAAAATGGCAAAAACAATTTGTTCATTAGGGAAACGGTCCATTTGCGACTACCTCAACAATGAGTAAAGTAAGGGAGATCCAATTCATCACAGCAACGTGATGATAAAGCCAGTCAGCAAACACTTCAAAACATCCCTAAACCGTTACATTTCGAGAATTTTGTATCTTTGGAGGAGTACCAAACCTGTTGATACAAGATAGTGCTGTTAGCAATCTTTCCACAATTCCCCATTGAATTAACATCCACGAAGTGTGCTGGGTTGCAACAACTATCAGGAACGAACTCTTGTAAAGGCCAGCGCTGTGCATAATGCCAATCGGACGAGTTGTTGACTCCACAGCATTTCAGCTAAATACCAAATACAGTCGAGAAACTTGAAAGATTAGGTGCGAACCGATTTCTGCAGTTTATCCCACGAAGCGGTCAGATCGAAAACACCTTGGCTGGTCACCACAGCGGAACGGTTAATATTTTGGAATAAGTCAGTGCGAACGTGTTCACGGGCCGCTTCCTTGAACGACAAATGTTTGACGGGAGAGATGCTAGGGTTAAGAGGCACTCACCTTATAAGACAAACCAAGAGCACCTGTGATGCTCTGGATAACAGCCAGAAGAACAACAAATCCGATGTACTGAAAGTCATGCATGAGAAACTGAGCGAAAAAGAGCTGTATAAATAACATGTCATATGTCGAGATTAACAGCCACGTCAGTCGAAGCTTTTTTACCTAATCTCAAGTATTCTTACAACAATTCAACGACGATAAATGTGTGAACTTTACCGTTAGCAAAAGACGGCGATTGTATGCAGTAGCTGCAATCCAGCCTACAGTGCAAATGATGCATACAGCGACTCCAGTGGAACAACATAGGCCAGCCGTGGAAAAAGCTGAAAATGGTAAGCTCCGTTCCAATGACGCTGGACTCATATGCAGAGTGGATCCATTCTAAGCTGTCCAAATTGAAATGATGAAGATTGGACAAAGCAAGCGAAAGCGCTCTTTCATCCTTGAGTAAGGCGGAGCAATAGAAGCTCAAGGAAAAAGAGGGCAGCCACTTAGGCAAGC